CAGCTGGTAATCTATTTTCTGTCTCTAGGGGATATAAACCTAGGAGTGGAATGAGTTAATCATATAATAAACTTATGTCTGACTTTTTAAAGAACTGCTCACCTCTTCTAAAGTGACGGTACCCCTTTACAATTCCAGCAGCAGCGTATGAGGGTTCCTGCTCTTCCACATTCCGGCCGACACTTGGCATCGTCAGTCTTCTGGATTATAGCCATTCTCCTGAACGTAATATGGTAGCCCACTTCACCAACCCCTCTTCACAATTTTATTTGCTAGTTTCCCCACTTTCAAGCCTCCCGTGTCTCAACCAAAGTGAATCTCCTGCTGTTTTTGTCAGTGGGGCTCCTTGGTGTCCTCAAATTGAGCCTTTGTTCGCTCTTTGAATGTGTTTCTTGACTAGATATTTTTTCAGAGGAGAGGGGATGGAATTGAGAGCTCAAATTAGTAGAAGCACAAAATGCCTCTGAATTCCTGACAGCACGGGCCCTTCCAAATCCCTCCTATGAACCTCACCACCGTACCTTTCCAAACCTTTTGCCCACTACTTTGGTGATGCAGATTAATCCCTAAACCTGGGCTGTGGAGATGCTTGTGTGAACGTACAAATTAACAGAAGGAGAAACGACTACCTTTAAAATGGTCCTGCAGAAAGAAGTATGCGTTCAAACGATGGTAAAGTCTGGTCACAAAGACTTTAAACCTCACCATTTAGAAACTGGTTTGTAGTAGCCAAGACATCAGAGAATGATTTGTTAGTTCGGATTAAAGTTGCTAGTAGTCTTGGATTAATTACCATAAAAAAGCTTCTGCTGTAATAAAAAGCAGAGATCTGCTAACCCTGCTACATTTCCTCCCCCGGCTGACTGCCTACTTGTAGTTATTTTAGCTTTGATTAGCACTTCCATCAGAAAATAGGAGGAAATTATGAACAACTTATTTGAGGAAGGTTTGATAATTGAAAATGTTAAATTTTTATGAATATTTATGAATCATAAATCCCCCCCCAAAGATTCTGGTTCAATGGTTTAGGTATGTATTTAGGATTATAACCACACTTTAAAATTCTTATTTTTGTCTTGCTCAAGGTCATAACATAAAAATCAACCAGTGCAGAAAGCCTACTGGTAGCAAACAGCCATTCTACACCCTTTGTAAATGTATGCCCCCCAATAAATTAGTTGCCAGGTTTTTTCTTACATTGAATTGATAGTACTCCCATTTATAATAGCAAAATTATTGTCTGTAATTTCCAAATTATTTTAAACTAGGTTTTAAATGATGAAGCTTAGAGTATGCTAAAGTAACTCTGAGTGCTTGAGAAAACACTGCATTTTTTTATGATGAGCCAAGTCATAGAAACCATTTAATGGTTTTAATTCAATCCAGAGATTTCATGTTTTCTCCTGAGTTCTTATACTTGGACAGTTTAAATATATTTCTAAGATTGAATGGAAACCTGTAAGAATTATGAAGCCATATGGCAGTCCGTAGTTTTGGATAGTATTGGATGAAATTTGTCTCAACAAATAAAATCCTTGCACTATACTTCAATTTAAAAAAATGCAAAGCTATTTAATTGGTTTTGTCATTTTCATGTGGAAGCAGGGCTGTCACAGTATGTTATTTTAAAGATTGAATTGGCCATGGAGTAGTAATACGATCCCAATTAGAAGAGGGAAGGAATAATCAGGAAAAGACAAACTATTGACAAATGAGTCTTAATGAACTGGTGTATCTGCGTCTGGAAGGCAAAGGTCATAGAGAATTCAGCTGCAGTAGGGAGCTCTGGGAGCATACTCCACCAGACCTTTGGAAAAGAAAGGCGTTAGGGTTCACTACTGCCTGAAGCTGTGACTTCTGTGAAGTAAAAGAGGAAGCAGATACTTCTTGGAACTAGAACTTGACTTAAGCCGATCCCTGAATCATAAATCCCCCCAAAGATTCTGGATTTAGGACCCAGGGATTTAGGAGGTGCAACCACAAAGCTTCTAAATGATGAGGAAAGAATAATGAGAAAGAAAAACGATCTCCTAATGAAAATGAAACTACTAACCAAAATTCCAAAGCACAGAGATATAATTATTACGAAGAAAAACAGCAATAAAATAAATAGGATATACATCATACACATAAAGTTAAAATATAAAAAAATTGAAGAAATACTTATTATATGCATATTTAGGACCCTCAAAGACGTAAAGAAAAGAAAAAGAGTCATACAATAAGAATGAGAAATTTGGAAAAACATACAGAAATGAAACAGAAAGTAGATAAGAAGAATGAAGTAGAAACACTTGAAATTTGAAATATGGTAATTAAAATTTAAAAAATTAACAAAATAAACTCTAGAGTCAGGCAATTGGAGAATTGGTGATTGGAAAGATGGATCAATTAATGTACTCATAAAACATTCAAGAGAGAGGAAGGAAAAAATGCATAAATAAAAAATGGATGATTTAAAGGTTCCAATACGTGGCTGGTGAGTATTTCAAAAAAGAGAATAGACACAATATTTATAGGTGGAATAATTAAAAAGGTAACAGCTGAGAGTATTAAAGAATTCAGGGGAAAAAAAGATGGGTGGCCTAAGACTGAAACTGCTATGAAGGCCTCTATGGCAACTTCTTAAGTTAGCCATTGTAGCATGAAAGCAGCCAAAGGCAATAGGTAAATGAATGCACGTGGCTGTGTGCAAGTAAAACTTTGTTCATAAAGATAGGCAGTGGACAGGTTGAATAAGGCCAGGAAGTCAGAGTTTGATGATCCCTGATCTAAATAACCATTGTTTACATTTTCAAGTCTATTGTCTCTAGTTTTTTTCATACATACATATACGTGTGTATTTATGTATATATATATAAGGTGCATTATACACACACAACTGATTTTAAAAGAGACTGTATCATAACTGAATCCCACATGACTTGGACCACACTTGTTCTTCTGAGCACCCATCTTTGGACAACTCTTGGTATGTATTATCATATATATAAAAAAAATTCTACTCGCCAAATTCTGATACAGATTTTAACTGTCGGTCATAAAGGGCAATAGAGGAGGGTGTACATCATACCACCCAGTGTCAAGCTGTTTGACAGTCCCATTTGCTCATTTCTCATTTTCCTCTCTCTTCTGTCCCTGTAGCAGGCAGCTGACATTCATCCCTTCCTTCCACCTTCTTTTCTCAGCACCATTCTGCAGCCATTCAGGCCCTTTGCCCTCCCCTCATCCCAGCACTAAAAATGCCTTCAGCCTGCGTATCTCAACCACCCTGCAAAACAAAGCACCCAGTAACTACAAGCTCAGCAAAAGTATATCCCAGGTCCTAGCCATAGGCAGATCACTTTATTATTTCTCTAGCACATTCCAGGGAGGATCTCAATTCATTCTGTCCCAATACACTGCTGCATGGTTGTTTTTGATGATCACATAGTATTTCATTGTGTACATGTATCATTATTTATATAACCAAGCCCCCAATTTTGAACAAGAGGTTACATACTGAAAATCTTTGATTGACTGAGTCTTTTTTCCCTCCTAAATCCATCCAGTGCAGTTGCGTTGTATCAGCCAATACAGTTTATGAAAACCATGTGGAAAGCAAATGTTCAACATAAACTTTAGAAGAGTATTTTATCAGGGAAAAAATCATGTTTTTGAAATAGTAAACAAATTTCAAAAGAAAGAAAAAAGATGCAGAAGGTTAGAAGTCAGGAAATTCAGGTTGTTAGAATCCAGATACCTTTCTTTCTTATGTGACTCTAGGCAGGGTCCCTAGGTCTCTGTGGATCAGTTTCTCAAACAAATAACAGAGATGAAAACAATTGTTATTGCCTACTATCATCCAATAGTATGATAAACATCTGGATTAGTTTCCTGTAGCTGTGGTAACAAGTTGCCCCAAACTTGATGGCTTGAAATCACAGAGATTTATTTTCTCACAGTCTGTGAGTCCTGAATTCTGAAATCAAGGTGCCTTGTGGGCTGCACTCCCTCCAACGGCTCTTGGAGAGAAGCTTCTCTTGCTTCTTCCAGCTTTGAGCAGGGGCAGCTCTAGGCTGTCCGTGGCTTGTGGCTGCACCACTCCAATCTCTGCCTCTGTGTTCACATGGCCTTCTCTTTTACATCTTCTAAGGACACTTGTCATTGTATAGTATTTAGGGTTCCCATGGATAACTGACTGTTTACTGCAGCTCAATTTACAATCACCAAAATTTGGAAACAACCTAAATCCCCACCACCCAGGAATGGATTAACAAGCTGTGGTATTTGTATACCATGGAATACTATTCAGCCATTAAAAAAGACGGAGACTTCACATCTTCTGTATTGACCTGGATAGAGTTGGAATGCATTCTTCTTCGTAAAGTATCACAATAGTGAAGAAGCAAGAATCCAATGTACTCAATTCTAACATGAAGCCAGCAGATGACCTAATACATACCCTCATAAGAGAAAACCCAAATCAATTCAAGGTGGGGGGCGGGGGTGAGGGAGCAGGGAGAGGGGAAGAAGGAGGATGATGGGGGGGGTCACTGTGTATGGCACACCTCTTGGGGGTGGGACACACTTATAAGAGGGACTTTACCTAACAAATGCAATCAGTGTAACCTAATTCTTTGTACCCTCAATAAACTCCAAAGAATAAAAAAGTAAACAAAAAAACTAAATGAATCAATAAGTAAATAAACCATCTCTCTAGTTTCTTTTCAAATCTATAGTAGAACCTCTGTATATTGACCACTCAAGGGACCGTAACAAACTTGTCACATATGGAGGTGGTCACCATAAGGAACTGAGCCTACTGCACTGATACGTACATGTGGTGCATGTCCGGTCTATGAAAATGAGGTCAGCATAAGGAGGCGGTCAGTATGGGGAGGTGGTCAATTATGGAGGTCCTGCTGTAAGTCCATTTTTAATAGTTAACAATGAAGGGTGTCATGACAAATTTAAAATGTATTAACGTGTTCATAAACTTCTATTTTTGATTTTTTAAGCGTTCATCTCAGTCAATGTTAGAACGAACCGAACAGCAGATAAGAGCTGCTTCTAGTTTGGAGGAGCTACTGAGTATCATGCACTCTGAGGACTGGAAGCTGTGGAGATGCCGGCTGAGGCTCAGAAGTTTTACCAGTATGGACTCTCGCTCAGCATCTCATCGGTCCACCAGGTTTGCAGCAACTTTCTATGACATTGAAACCCTAAAAGGTAGGTGTATGGCTGTGGAGGCAAATTCTTTCCTTTATCAGATGGTGGCAAATGCACCAATTTCTTCCAGGCCAGGCAGGCACATGTCAGAGGGACAATGAAAGAGGGTCATTGATTTTATAATTTTTGTCTTTAGAGAAGAATTCCAACTTTTTAAACTTTACTCCAAAGAGAAGTATATCTAATATGATTTGGGGATTTAAAAAAACACAAAAGAACACTTCAAAATACAGAAATAAATTTAACTCCAAGATGTGGGAGCACAATAAACCCAGAAACACTATTCTCAAGAGAAAAAAAAAATCATTGGGTTTGCTTAAAAAATAAAACAATCTAGAAATTCATCCACAGGGGGCATTCTACTGCCATACATTCAAAAATAAAAACCCAGTACATTAGGTGTAGCTTTTTAATTCTTCAAAATCGTGCAACTTCTAGTTAAAGTGAAAAGTAGAAGTTGGAAGCTGAGTTGTCATATTAGGTACTAGTATTACTAAGAGAATAACAAAAGGAGAAAAATCTTAAGATAAAATTTCAACCTAGAAAACAATATAAATTGAAATGAAGGAAATGATTTTTCTTTACTAAGGTATCATACATAAGAAAACCAGTAGCCGGGCATTGTGGCAGGTGCCTGTGGTCCCAGTTACTCGGGAAGCTGAGGCAAGAGAATTGCCTAAGCCCAGGAGTTGGAGGTTGCTGTGAGCTGTGACGCCACAGCACTCTACCAAGGGCAATAAAGTGAGACTCTGTCTCTACAAAAAAAACAACAACAACAAAAAAACAATGTTGTATGTACGGTGCCATGATGAATGAAAATACTTGTTAAGTGAAGTTGTATGGCCTCCAGTTAGGCATTTTACTTTTTGAAGACATGCCAAAACAACATGAGAAGCTATTATGACATTGCTGATCTAGCATTCTACATTTTATTAACATGATTAACTGGTAACTGACTATAGCTATCACATAATTCAAATCAACCACTAAGCCAAGATTCCTTTCTTTCTACCTCAAGTTGATTTCTTTTCCCATTTGTAAATAAATGATGATGCTTTACAGGCCTCTGTTGTTGGCTGTGAGGAAGTTTGTGCATAGAGGGGAAAAATCCCTTGGCAGTACCATATGCATGAGTGTTCGTGCATATACTGTGTGTAAGTCAGCTGAGATGGTGGGAACCATGGTCTTGAATCCACTTGGCCAGGGGTTTGAAGCTCTAGTTGTTTCTATGTGGTGAAATAGCACTGACTTCATGAAAACAAAGGGTGCAAAACTCATCTGGAGGGCAAAGGCTTTAGCTATATTACCTGTCTGAAGGCCTGAAATGAACCTGGAGATAACTCTGGGAAGTGGAGTATTACCATAAAACCAACACTGGGTGATCTAAACCAGTCAGTGACATTGACATTTTCTAAAGAGAAAACCATAAAAAATTATGGAATTTTGAACTCTAGAATTTTCTTCCTAATTACATAAGGGATCATCTAAAGTTATTTACTAACTTAGAAGCAGTAGATGATCACATCGGTTTGTTACACTAACTATAATTTGTTATCGACTCTCCTTCATGGATTTCAGGGTAATTCCTTGAGGCAGAACAGTCCTGCTTGGCGGTAGTCAAGAAGAGTTGTGAAGCCTTTAATCAGTGGTATTGGCCATAATTGCATTCAGCTTTGATTAAAATCTTTCCACTCCAACTGTCAAATCTGAGTTTTGTAAAACAAGAAAAAGCAAACGGAAAGCAACAAGTCAATGGAATTTTACATGGGGAATATTTTCATAAGTCGGTTACTTGTTTTGTCAAGGATTCATGATTAATAATAGTGAATTAAAAAGTACCCATATTAATACCCAATTAAGCAATTTGTTTCTCATGTGCGTAGCCTTGAGGATTTTATAGAAATGTTTATAATCAGAAATTTTAAAAAAGGTTTCTCAGAGTAGATTGTAGCATGAAAAAATCCAAGTTTAGGTAAATTTTGTAGTAAAATGCAATGCTCCTCAGCCAAAAATCTTGCATTTTGTGTTTTCAGTGATTAAAGAAGCAACATAGGAAGAAAGTTGGGATTAAGGGGTGGAAAAGGAAAACAGATACGGAGAAGATATTTTAAGGGAATAATTTCAAGACCAGGAGTAAATCTCTAACAGTAATATTGTATCTGTGTACTTCAAACATCAGTCTTCTCTATCCTTTTGAGATATGTCTGTTTACATATATGGGATTCAGAATAATCTAGAGAGAGTTTTTTGAAGATGGGGTAAAAATGGAGAAAAGTTTGTCTATTACTATATAGCACATTACCTCCCAAACTTAGCTGCTTAAAACATATTTCACCTCACCTGACCATTCCATGGGTCAGTAATGTAGATACGGCCTAAATTGGTTTCTCAGCTTCAAGATCTCTCCAGAAGTCGGAGTCAAGATGTCAACATGGGCCGCAGGCATCGCGAGGCTCAACTGGGGCATGATGTGCTTCCAAGTTCATGCAACAGAGGCTGTTGGACTGAGAGTTCCAGTTCCTCACTAGGTGTTGGTCAGAGGCCATATTCAGTTCCTTGCCAGGTGGACCTTTCCAAGAAAGGGGAGAGCCTGCAAGAGAGAGAGACTGCAGTCGTTTTTAACCTCATCATGGAAGCAGCATCCCGTCACATTTGCAGTGGATTCTCTTCCGGAGAAGAGAGTCACTAGATTCAGCTCGCACACAAGGGATGGGGAATTACACAGGGGTGTGACTATGAGGAGGTGGGGATCAAGAAACAAGAAGTTTTCACCACCCCACTTATAATAAACTCTACAATTCCATGGCAAGCGAAAAGAAAGTCTTTAAGGGTTGTCTTTATCTTGAAATTGAATCTCCCCCTGCCAAACAGCCATGCAGGCTATGCAGCATGGGTGGCACCTGTGGCTCAAAGGAGTAGGGTGCCGGCCCCATATACTGGAGGTGGTGGGTTCAAACTTGACCCTGCCCCAAAACTGCAAAAAACATTTTAAAAAAGGCTAGGCAGCATTAAGCATTGAAGTGCCAAAATCTAATTTAAAAAAATAAATAGGAGAAAAACAAGCATTGTTTTACAAGAAAACATATAATTATCTTTTATTCCCAGAGGCTTTTTTTCCCTCTCTCTCATCTCCCTCAAATTAGCTATGGCCAGAGGACGGCTCCTTCCAATAAAATAAAATTATTTCATCATTTTATATAAATATAGGGCACATGCAAATGAGAAAACTGATTTGAAGAAAGATTAGCTCCACTTAAATTTCCATTCATGCGTTTGGCAGGTTTAAAAACTGCTGTAGTTACCTAAGCAATCAACAGAAACACATTTCTTTCTAATGCTAAAACCTACCCACACCTAGCTTCAAGTAGAAGAAATGGTGTCCAGCTGTGTCCTGTAAATTGCTTGATAAATAACATTTCCATGTTATTTCTTTATATGCATCCATTCCCTTATTAAGTAGTTTCTCCGGGTGTACCCTACGTTATTATGTGTAGGACATGGTGTTCTTCCCACAGGGAAACAAAATGCTTAATATTCTACAAAGATGTGGTGTACATGGGATGGAACTCCAGATTTGGAGTTTAATTTTCCTGCCAACACTCTCTGGTTAAAGGACTGACCAAACATTCCACATCAAGTGCCCTTAACAAGCAGTAAAAACATAAAGGTGACTGTGTTCAGCATCACCCTGGCACCAGTTGGCATGTCAAGGCCATTTCCTCTGCTGTCCCCAAAGAACTTTCTCTCTGCAGTTATAGACGAAGAGTGGCAAAGAACCCAGTGCAGCCCTAGAGAGACGTGCGTGGAGGTCGCCAGCGAGGTGGGGAGGAGTACCAACACATTCTTCAAGCCCCCTTGTGTGCATGTGTTCCGGTGTGGTGGCTGCTGCAACGATGAGAGCCTCGTCTGTGCGAACACGAGCACCTCGTACGTTTCCAAACAGGTATGAGCACATCAGCATGTGTGCCCCCACCCCAGCCCTCGCAATGATCGTGATGGCAGGTACAACTGACCTTGTTACCAAGCCCTGTGCAAAATGCCCATTGAATCCCTGAAACAAGCCAGTAGGGTATCTAATTGTTTCTTATAGATGAGGAAACTCAGGCTCAGAAAGGTGACTTACTTATCCAACATTATACATCTGGTGAATGGCAGAGCTGGGACTCAACCCAGGTCTAGGTTGACATTGGAGCCTGATTCTCATCAGTGACTGTCTCTCTGATGCTCTAACGTCAAGAGGCAGAAAAACACATGGAAGTTACTAGAACACGATGTTCAAAGGCATGAAAGCTGGTGTATCCATTGCAGTGGTTCTCAACCTTCCTAATGCCTCCTAATGCTGCAATATGGAAGCAGTAGTAACAAATTTAGGAAAACCTGGATAAGTCAAACATTCCTTTTGGAATGCTGCAAATCCTTCAAATGTGTCATATTTGCCTGTACAATCCATTTTCACGATTGTGAAAAGAGATAGTAAACCCAAATTACGTATGTGCTGAATACATCCATGTTACATAATTATCTTAATGCTGATTTTTTGTTAATAAGTTAACTTATTTTGTTTCCCCTACCCTCTAAAATATCTTTTAAACTGGAGAATTTGTTTTCTAAAACCTATTAGAGAATCTTGGAACTTGTGAGACTTCTGACCTCTACTATTTGACAATTAGAAAAAAAAAATGACCTAAGTATGGCTGAGCTTTGACTGTTATTAGAAACAATGCTCGCATAATGTAATAGGGTCTAGTTCATGATCATATGATTCCCTAGAGCATAGCTGAAGAATTGTGCAAGAAGATGAAGTTTATGCAAAGTAAACACTAAAAAAAAGGGGGGGGCTCTTACTCAGACTCCTGGAAGTTCCATTACACGTTGAAAGGTCAGAATAAACACAACCTTAATGAATTGTTTCCACTTAATAGATAGCTGAGTACTTTATTTTGACTGCTTTACTCAACAAATGATTAGTTTTAAAGAATGTACTTAATTGTAAGGGCATTAACAGTTTTCCTTTCCAAATAGGCATATTTGAATGTTTTCATAGTAGTTCTTTTTAAAAACTATCTCTTTCCCCTGAGTTATGGACTATTTGGTGAACTATCTCTTAGAAAGAAAGTGAATAAATGAATAGTCTATGTAGGAAGGACTACATGGAATGGCGATTGAATGGACAATTAATTAAAATCAAGTTCAGATTCATTGACACATCATAGAACCACTCTAGAAAGTTATATAATCTCTCTGTACATCTGTTTCCTTGCCTGTAAGATGGGGATAATAAACCTCCCCCCATAGTGTTGTTGTAAGTGGTGAATGAATTAATATGAAAGTACTTACAACAGGGCCTGGCATATGGAAAGAATGATATATGTGCTAACTCTAATTATTTGTTCAGGCATGAGTATCATTCAGCTATTAATACACAATGCTACATAACAAACATTCTAAAACTCAGTGGCTTCAAAGAACTATGAAATATCCTCGCTCATGTACCTGAGGTTCAGTTAGTATAGGGTGGGCTCAGGTGGGCTTGACTTCAAGCTCTTCTCATAGCTACAGCATAAGCATGAGAAAACAAGGCCCACAAGGCATTCTGGGTTCAAGTTTGTATTTGTGTCATGTCAGCTAACATCCCACTAACCAAAAAAAGTGTCACGGCCAAATCTAAAGTCAAGAGACAGGAAACTGTAGTTATATAGATGGTATGGGAAATTTGAACCAAGATCTCAAAGAAACTTCATAGCCCTCATCTCCTTTAATCCTCACAATTTACATTCAAATTTAAAGCAGGAGCAGAAATCAATAGTATCATTGTCTGAGGGTAGCAGTGACACCAGAAAGTTAAGAGATCTGCCCAAACTTAGACATTTTATAAAGTTGGATGAGCCCGTGGTGTCCTGACTCTCAGCCAGTACTCTACCAGCCCCTATCATTATTATTTGCTCAACTCTGAAAGGCCAATTTGGTTAAGGTCAATACCATAAGTGACAAAGGCAAAAATTCAGAGTGTAGAAGACAATTTTTAAAAAACATATAAAGTAAGATAATATATGCATTGTGGTTATCTTTCTCTGCTATAGCTCTTTGAGATATCAGTGCCTTTGACATCAGTACCTGAATTAGTGCCTGTTAAAATTGCCAACCATACAGGTTGTAAGTGTTTGCCAACAGCCTCTCGCCATCCATACTCAATTATCAGAAGATCCATCCAGATCCCAGAAGAAGATAGGTAAGCACTTCTTGGACTTGACTAGGTTTGTTCTTGTCTTTGCCAAAACTGTGTGTGGAGAATACTTTGTGAATTAGAAAGTTATCACTTTCTCTTCAAATTCCTCATCTTTTAGCTTCTAACTCAGATGTATTGGTAATATCCGTTTGACAAATACATATTTGTGTTAGATGTTAGTTGCATATTGTAGTAGGGCCAAAAGTCTCAGTGGTTATAAACTCCTATCTACTTGTAGACACCTTTGTGATTATTATGCGTAGTCTAATGCAGTTACAAAACTGCTCCAGCCACAAATTTGGCACATGTCCCTTCATCCCAGAGCTGGCATTAAATAAAACTTTATTGCATGCTGTTTGTATGTTTACATCTTGAAAGAAGGGAAAAAAAACAGAAAAGAATTCTTGGAGTCATCAGAAAGTGACAAAACTATCAGTCTATGCATTTTGCAACTTTTCACTTTCCCCTTAAAGATTACCAAGTGGAGACTTCTTATTTTAAATTTAAATGACTTAAAACGAATTTGGTTTTGACATGTTCTTGAGATTAATTTTTGAGTCTTTATGAGACAAACTGTAACACCCTGAAGTGTTCTGAAACCAAAGGTAAGTAAGGATAATCGATTTAAATAAAAAGGATTTAATACAGAGAAATAAATAAAGGGCAACTTACAAATACTGAATGAAATGATAAAGTAAGTTGGATACTTACATTTTGCAAAAGTAAAGCAATACCTGTATAGTGTGTGTAGCAAGCGAAAGCGCAAGATGGTGATTACAGGTCTATTAGTTAATGCTGAGCCAAGGAAATACCTCCACCTCTGTCAAACAGAGGAGAAACCTCGTGGAAAAGCAATATTTATTCTCGAGATGTGCCTGCTGCCCTGGCCAACATTCTTATCTGCATTGCAAAGAAAATAATCTTAGGATCTATGATAGAACATATTTACTTTTGGTAAATAAACTGTTGATAACTATAATTTGCATAGTTTTAACATCCATCTTCTTAAAAAGATTATAACTTTCTAAAATTACGGTTGAGTTTTGCAAATAGAATATTTATGACTGCAGAATTACTATCTAATGAGAGGTAGTTCATACATATGGATTAAGCGCCTTAAAATCTTAACTATTCTCATATTCTTATCATTTTTGTGGCAAGAACATCTGAATTTTTTTCATTTAGCCATTTTGAAACATACATTATTATTAACTATAGTCAGCATGCTGTGCAATAGATCACAAAACCTTATTCCTCCTGTCTGACATTAAAAATAAAAAATGAATTTAAAAAAAACGTAACTATTAACTAATCTTAACTCAGACATTTATTTAATGTTCCAAAATCATGATCACCCTTTGAAAACTTTTAAATCTGGTTCATTGTTTTCGTTTCCCAGTTGTTCCTTTTCCAAGAAACTCTGTCCTGTTGACATGCTTTGGGATAGCAGCAAATGTAAATGTGTTTTACAGGAGGAGAATCCACTTGCTGGAACGGAAGGTAATGATCCCGGTGTTGATATAATAATGGCGATCATAACAATACTAGCAACAAACATTGGGTACTCACGATGATCAGGCCATGTTTTAGGTCTTTTTATGTATTAACTCCTTTTCCTTTAATCCTCACAACGACCCTATCATATACTATCATTACCCCTTTTTGACAATTACGAAATGGATACACCACGCCGTCCAGTAATTTCCTCATGGTTACACAGCGAAGAGTAATAGAGCATAATCATACAGTTAAGTCTACCAGTACATTAGTCTGCTTTTTAATCTCTAAGAAAAGCCCGAAGTAATTGGAGCATTCTGAAGCACTGAATTTCAAAGGGGATGTTAAACTTTAAGGAAAACTACTTCAGAACTAAACACTAGTCCATTGCAGTTGACTGATTTACTTGCGTAAAAGTCTCCCAGGAACATAAAGCAATCTTGGACTTGGTTTCTTTCAACTGCATCATATAAAAACATGCTAACAATTTTGAAAAAGAAATGGATGAGGAATATGAGAACATGTTTCTGGAACTAGGGCGAAGTAGAAGCAAACCATGGCTATTAGTCTGAGTGAGAGGAGTTGAGAATGAAATGAGGCAGGCTATCATCATCATACTCCGTAAAGCTATTATTTGGGGTGATGATGAATGCATTTTTAATTTATTTCCCTGAGAACTTTACATGGTGCCACTGGAAACAAAAAATCACAAGGAATCGTGCAATTTCAACCTTGCATGTTTAAAGCTGTGGTCCACAAGCAGGCATAACATGTTTTAAACTCAATGGAATCTGTCCTAGAAACTGTAAATAACAACCTACTTCCTATTTTTCTCTCACCTTCTTTCTCAATGCTTTCATGAAAGCTCAACCCAGAGTGTGAGGGAAACTCAAAGTACATGTGGTTTAATCCCCATGCAAATCTTGAATGTCCTTGACACGTCTCCCCACGTTTGGACTTCCATTTCATGCTCCATAGCCACACAGGGCCTGTAGCTACCTTGCTGAACAGCCCTGAGCTTAAGAACTCAAGCTCACTAGTTCGTGTTACTCTATAGAGCCATGTGAAACCAATCTAATTATTTCCCTACGTGACTCATTTTTAAATAGTGCTAGAAAGTTACTGTGAGGGGCAATATACCTAGAGTTAAAGGCTGTTCTAGTGGAGGTTTCCCTGGCACACAGCTCCCAAGATAGAGATGTCCACCCAGGAGGTTTGCAGGCAAGCACAAGCCATTAAAGGATGAAGAGGGAGGGGCCCATCACCCCAATGCAGTTGCAGAGAGGTGTCCACCCCAGTGCAGTTGAGAGGTATCAGCCAATCCCAAGGGGAATAGAAGCTGGGATTCCCCTATGGGGATGTCTCAAATCCAGGCAAAGGGGTTGGGCCTTATGGACCAGTTAATGGATACGCTGCAGAGAGGGGGTGTAACCTTAGGTGAGGCAGCTTCTTTCTGCTGGAGGTAATTCCTGGGGGGAGACTCAACCCATACGTGTGTGTTAAGGGTGGAAAGAGTAGTGGGGAAGGGGAGTAGTGCTCTGAGCACGGGGCTATGAGCACTCAGGGCTGGAGGTGAGAGAACAGTGTATCCTCGGTGCCACAAGAAGTTCAGTATGGTGGGAATACAACAGGGGTGGGGCACTGAGTAGATGTGAGGGAGGACGCTAGGGAGGCCCACGGGGGCAGAGTGGAAGGACCTTGTGAGCCTTCTGCCAGAACTTGGATGTGTTTCTAATGACAAAGGAAAACCACACAGCTACTTCAAGCAGGAGAGTGACAACACCCACCAGAATTTTAGCAAAATCAACCCAGCAACCGTGTAGAAGAGGATGGGTTGACCCCAGGCAGGAAAGGAGAGAGGAAACCTTTCAAGAAGTTGTAGCAATGATGGAAGTGAAAGGAGCAGGGTTGACCGGATCACAATCACTCTGATTTTCATCTCCCTTAAGTCACTAATATGGGTCAAGTTTACATCCATTTCTCCAGTGGCTTCATCAAACTGCGGACATATTCTGAGCTTACTGCTCACTAAACTTGTTTTTCATACATATGGCTGTTACGCCAATTGCCTTTTCTACAAAGACTTCCCTTCCCCAAATGAGCACATTTGGGTTAGAGAATCCAAGTCCAGTTTAATTTCATCTTGTTAGATTCAGGTCAATAGCTCTAAACTGTGAAAACAAACAATACATTAAAAAAAAAAGCAGGAGGAAAAATTAAAGAGGTTCCAATTCTGTATTTTAATATATGTAATATGTCCCTTCCTTCCTCAAGAGAGCCACAGTTTTGAGAATTGATTTTGAAAAATTCCATCAGTTTATTGATAGACATGATAAATGGAACACATTGGTATCCCGTCACCAACCCTCGTTAGGGATGGAAATCAATGTAAAATTTTCCAAAATACCACCATCAGCTACTTGCTGTTCCTCCCAGTTCTCCTGAATCCAGTTGCCATTTCTTTGAACTTACCTATAAGGGCATGAGGACAGCCTCTGCCGAATAACCTGCAAAGTTCTGCAAACACCTTGTCCAAGAATGGTGCTGAGCTGATCTAAGTGTTCTGAGTGAATCTCTGCTGCCACCTAGAGATCGTTGCAAATATTTTAAGAGCTTTTTAATTATCCTTAATAATCTAGTCTTGTCTTGCCCCATAGTGACATCTGCCTCACTAGCATACGGCCTACAAAGCTCACATTCTTCCTCTTCACAACATTCAGAGTGGAGTCTTACCAGATCTAGACTTCCAGCGCCCATTCCACCTAATTTCTCAAGCATCACCCATTACAGAGCAGTTAAAACTACTAGACCGAATGACAAGATTGCCTTTGTGGTAATGGGCAGATACCGGCAAGAGCATATGCTTGAACCCAACTTGGAATGCCGGATGGAATTCTTCAGAGGCTCTATACGCCGACCTGCCTCAAAAAAATTTTCTTATACCAAATAAATCCAATAAACGTTTATTGGGTGTACCTATTTTATGCCAGAATAATGAGACCTGGTCTCAACCCATCAGTATGTTTTCCTTGTGGGGGTGGGGAGACATAGAAGTAAAGAAACAGTTGTAATCAGTCCAAGTAAGGACAGGATGGAAGTATGGAGTATACACAAGGTAAGGGCTCTTAGCTAAACTTGCAGATGTTTGGAAAGCTATCAAGGGAAGGGAATGCTAGAGGGAAGGAAAAAGCCAAAGGCATGGGAGCTGACAGGTGCTGGCCTAGCAGGAGAACAGAAAGCACTGTACTTTGGTGTTAAGGGAGCACAGGATATATGAGAGAGACACACACAGATGACCCTGGGAGGTAAGCAGGGTCTTTTCATGGAGGGTTTGGTATGCCCTGGTGGGAAAATAGGATTTTGTTGTGAGAAGGGAACCTTTTTAAGGCATTTAAGGCAGTGGAACGATATGATTAGGTTTGCAGCTGGTAATCATATGGAGACTAGATGGGAAGGACATAGTAGTGGCGAAATGAGTGACAGCCATCTACAGAAGAAATACAAGAGACTGACTCAGTTGTGGAGTGGCAACGGTGATGGAAAAGAAAGATCAAATTCAGGGAGGCAGAACTGAGTGCACATGGTGATTAGATCTAAGTAGAGCAGGTGAGTTAAGAATCTTGGTGTTATTCCCTAAATGAAGTGAACTGGGGAAAGAATCAAGTTTGGGGAGGAAAGTAAATATGCCCTTGCCTCTCAAACCTGCAACACTGGTAAGGTGACATAGTTGAGCTCTTCCAAAGTTTCTGTCTCTTCCTTTTTTTTTTTTTTTTGGCAATAAACTTCAACTTGTCGATCAGAATTGGACACAGAGTTATAACTATCCAATTGTTTTTATACACCTGCTAGAAGACGTATCTGTCAGCTCAGAGTGTGAAAAACTTCCTAGACCCTCCTTTTTACCTGATTATATCTGCCAGCAGATGTCTGTGGAATCAAAGTTCATTGTCACTGTGGTATCTTTTATACCAGTGTTATGATCCGCAGTGAGGACACACATCACTGTTGCTACCCTTGTTCTGGAAAGTCTGAGGTATATTCCTACAACACCTCTAATTTTATTCTTCTTTCCTTTTCATCAACTAAACCCTAGGGAGGACTAATAATCTTTCGACATACTATATTATATTACTCATCCTCAATTGTAAAATGCCTTCCTAAAATTTTTAACAAGTCACCAACTTAAAAATCTCTAAAACTAACTTACCAGAAATATTCAGCTTATTATTTTTTTAAATCACAAAAGTAAGAATAAACATGACTTCTGCATTTGCATTGGGAAGTCAGGTGCCTCTCTCTCACCTTGTGGAAAAAAAAATAGGGGTAAAGTAAACATCTGCAGGAAAGGAGATTGGAAATCTACGGGCAAGTTATTTAAGAGTGATATAAAATATACAACTGACTTTGGTGATCACATTATCCATGCTCCAGCTATCTGACTAACGCTTTTCTGTTTCTGTTAGACCATTCTCAGCTCCAGGAACCGGCTCTCTGTGAGCCACACATGAAATTTGATGAAGATCGTTGCGAGTGTGTCTGTAAAACATCATGTCCCAAAAATTTCATCCAGCACCCCCAAAACTGCAGTTGTCTTGAATGCAAAGAAAGTCTGGAGAGCTGCTGCCAGAAGCACAAGCTATTTCACCCAGATACCTGCAGGTGAACGGCTTTTTCACTTTCACCTAACCGTAACTCATGGATGTTTAATGTCAATGCCATTTTTATTCGCTGAGATTCCTCATGAGGCCAATTTTTATTCTCAGTGCCCAAGCCCCTTTTTGATACTAAAAGAGAAGTTTGGCAACTAAGCAATAGTAAGAGTACATAACGTAATGGGTAATTGTGGAATTAAGAAAATCCTGCCTGCCATCATGGGTTTATAGCTTGTAAGCAAAAACTAAATTGATGAAATTCAGACAATTATTTGGGGGAAGGGAGTTTCCAGGTCACCAAACTCGTTGGTTAATCTCTCACCGTACATGTCTATATACGTGTATTTGTTTTTTCTTTGATGGAACGGATATCACTAAAATTACATAGAAAGGAATTTATCAATGAATAGAACACTTGGAACTTACCCATTGGACTTTAATAGATCTTGAATTATGTGGGATAATCATTCAGGATTTTATATTGACATCTTAAATACATGGCTGGAAAATGTTCTTTGAACACATAATCCAAATCAGAACATAGTTATTCCTTTGAATTCAGTCCTTAATTCTGAATTCTCATCTTTACTTTTTTTTTTGCAACAGCTGTGAGGACAGATGCCCCTTTCATACCAGACAATATGCAAATGGAAAACCAGCATGTGCAAAGCAGTGTGGCTTTCCAAAGGAGAAGACGACTGCCCAGGGGCCCCACAGCCAAGAGAAGCCTTGATTCAGCTTCGTTCCAAGTTCTGCATCCCTGTCATTGTCAACAGCATGCTGCTTTGCTGAGTTGCTGTCACTGTTTCGCACCCCCCCCACCCCAGGTGTTTGGAAAAATCTATTTTACATAGCACCACAGTAAATCCAAACCAGGCTTTCATTCACACCAGCTGAGGAGTCCCTGGCTCACTGACAGATGTCTTCTAGCCACAGAGACCTCTGCACAGCAAAGAATGGAGAGGAGGGGACCCACAGAGCCCCCCGTTTTTGGTGAATGAGAAAGGTGTGCTGGTCGTGGAATGACAGGTGCCATGTGATGACTCAGAGCAGGTGAGGACTGTGTAGTCCAAATCCTTTGCTAATTGCAACTCTCTTGTGAATTATTATGGTTCTTTCTCATGCAGAATTTGATTTGTATGGTCAGCACCGACTTCTGATTACTGTCCAGCTTGCAGTTTTCCAGTATAGCGAACTACTGTCTGATGTTTCATATTTAAGTGTATTTAAAAAAATAAACACCATTATTCAAGCTGTAGAATTTTGTTCTCATGTTGCTTAACATGTTTCTACTCTACACTGTATGCTAAAGAAAAAAGGGTTGAAGGAGACAAAGGAATCTAAAAGTGAGGCGCAGAGAAAGACATGAATACAGCCAAACCAGACCTCGGTTTGTGGAAACAAAGGGAGTAACTCTCAGGAGGTTTACGATTATAGATGAGGTTGAGCAAATGTGACCCAAGAATCAGCTGGGAATCACTCTGTGCTTTGAGATTAAGTTGAACTTGACCTGACCCCCATCCCATGCCAGAGGAGAGTCTATCCAGTCTCTTGACATCTTTGAAAGTTTGTGTTTCTTCTGGCCACGTCGGGCTCTAAGTTTCTGCACTTGTTCAACTTTTGATCTCATGGACATCTCAACTCTTTTTTTTTTTTTTTTTTTTTTGAGACGGAGCCTCAAGCTATCCCCCTGGGTAGAGTGCCGTGGCATCACGCTCACAGCAACCTCCAACTCCTGGGCTCAAGCGAGTCTCCTGCCTCTGCCTCCCAAGTAGCTGGAACCACAGGCGCCCAACACAACGCCTGGCCATTTTTTGGTTGCAGCCATCATTGTTGTTTGGCGGGCCCAGGCTGGGGATTCGAACCCGCCACCTTAGGTGTATGTGGCTGGCGCCTTAGCCGCTTGAGCCACAGACGCCGAGCCGACATCTCAACTCTTATAGCAACATGACCCTTCTCCCTGTTCTAAAGCTGTGCAGGAGGGAAGCACAAAGCCTCTTTCCTTTGATTTTCCCCCAAAGTACCCCCACATTTCACTTCTTGGTGGCATAGAGTTCGTTGATATTTTGGAATAACAGGGGGAAATGTAGCAGCATTAGCACAGTTATTATTTAATAACTTAAAAACTGATCCCCACAGTATCTTGCATAGATTGACAGATAGATACACACACAGACACACACACACACACACACACACACACACACTATATATGTATGTATATTTATATACCATTTACCAATTTACCACATACCTGTGTAAGTAGTTGTATTCATGTTTATCTCCCCATTCTACTGTGACCTCCTCAGTGATGAAGAACTGTGCCCTGATCAGATTTGTGTAATCCAAGCTTTTCAGGCCAGACTACGTGGATCAGTACAATCACATGGACAAAGACAATGGTAACAAGATGTAGCTCCACAGTAGCAGTGTTGGATTCTGGCCCAAATCCCTGCCTTTCTTCTGTCAGGGTTTCTAAGAAGTGCCTGAATTCTTCCTTCCTTCACTGATGTTCTCTGAAGCTTGTGGCTCTAAGCCAGTGGTTCTCAACCTTCCTAATGCCACAGTGTATTTTCATTGTTAAAAAGGAGTCGCGACCCACAGGTTGAGAACCGCTGCTCTAAGCCCTCTGGTCTTTTTCTGGCCTTAGCTCTCAGTCTCTGCTCTGGAGACACCAGCCTATCTTTACCTGGCCTTGGGGCCAGTTTCAACTGTGCTGCCATTGTCATTGCTCTTGTCATTTACTGGTACTGACCCATTCACTTCCCTCCTGCCACTGTTTCTCTTGACCCTCCCTTGATGTCAACAGGCCACTTCCTACTAGTTTTACTTTTGTAATCAGGCTTCTGAAAGGGCTGGCACATTACTTGTTTGTAAAATACACTTAGCATTCAACCCCTTGTTTTACCTTTTCACTTATTTTCTACCACTTCTCCTTATCTCTATAGTATTTGGGTAAGTTCCCTTGACAGATGGGGCAAGAGACAACTGAAAGGACACCACACAATTGAAGAAGTTTCTTTACTCATCCTCAACCAGTAAAAAGAGAGGCTGAATTACCAAGGAGAAAAGATCTGGGTATAAGGACAGGGTCTGCCACCTAAACCACTGTGAGCCTGAACAACCTCATCAAGCCTGTTTCCTTACCAGTCAAATGTGAATGATAATCTTATCTCTCTACATCTCAGAATTGACAGTAGAGTTAACCCTGGTTAAAAAAAAAAAGTGAACAATACAATGTACTTTGCAAGTCAAATGAATTGACCTGAAGGAAACAGACCGGATCCCAGGAGTTCGAGACCTCTGGGAAGTTCTTGCCTTATTCGGGGATCCTTGGATCTATCCTAAAACCAATTCAATCTGTTAGGTTCTCCTAGGGAGAAAGGACAAGGGCTGGGGCCCGAGGGCCCCACTTCACCTTAATCCTGTTCCAATCAAATACACCTGGGGAGGAGAAACCCAGAAACCCATGTACCAAGCTACCAGTCAGAGCATAGTGTGCCAACTGAGAAAGGATGCAGAGGACACGCCAGCCCACCAGCCAAGCAACATGGGTACAATAGAGTCTTGAAGGTGACCTAGAACAGCCTTAAGGCTAATTATCCTGTCATTAGCTTAAATCTACATTGCGGTCCATACCTCTCCATGGGCTTTCAAAGAGAATCATGGGAAGTCCAAATGCATAGTAAGACTCTGGTTCTAAGGTGACCTCCAAGGTAGGCCCAACCCAGGCAATATAGAACAGAACCCCTGGCCATATTCAAAATCTTTCTTTGTCCCAAAGATGTAGGCCTGTTTGCCGTCTGTGGCGAATGTATCTTGCTCTATAAACCTTATTCTGTAAACCTACTTTTCTCTTTCTCGGTAAACTTTGTTTCACCCTCACCTTGCTTTGGTGAGTCTGATCATTCTTTGGTCATGAGAGCACCAAGAACCAAGGGCACCGACAGCTGCCTGAGATCTTGACATTTTAGGACACAGGCAGTTGCTTTGAAACCTGACAAAACCATGTTTTGCTGGAAGTTGCTTTGGCTTCATAATTGCCATTGAAATGGAGACATTACAAAGAACCCTAGGCTAGGCCCAAACTAGGTATTATCTGGCTTTGTGCTTCTAAAACCCCTCCTTCTGTTCCCTCCCTAACTCCCAATAACCACCAAGAGATCTGCACTTGAATCCCCGAGGCTGGGTCAGATTGGGGCTAGTTCTCAAGGGTGGAGGTGGGGTACTGGCCTACTGCTTTATTAGAGTTCACTAGGCACTGCACAGGAAAATCTGTCATACTGATAGCCCTGGAATGTGAGCTGAAAATTCTCAACTTGTTGCAAAATACGAATATTTGACAAGCCTTAAGATCTTCACGCAAACACAAGAAATGCCATCAGTGCATGGTATCGCTGACTAGCTAAGCCACAAGGCCAGAGAGTGTATTGATATCACAGCATAGACCATAAATCTGTGACTAAAACAGTGTAGTGGGAAGCCCTTTAGAGAAGGAAACATATCAGGCAGCATGATGGTCAGAGTTGAATGAAGATTAAAACAACATCTGAGATACCTATTTACTATTTCTCTTAATTCTGTGGGTTGATTAGGATCAGCTAGGCGGTTCTTTTGTTCCATATAGTAAAGGCTAAAATTATTTCAGTGGTACTCATATTAAGTTGGGAACTCATCTACTGCTAGAATGCCCAAGATAACCTCTCATTCTTTAGGCCCTCTCTCCATATGGCCTGCTATCATTCTGTATCTTTCTTGAGCATCTTTACAGCATGGCTATTGGCTTTCAAGAGAAAATGTTCCAACAAAACATGCTCCAGTCCATTAATACTTGTTAAGGATCTGTGGTATCCCATTTATGGATGTCTCACTGGCTAACCAAGTCACGTGGCCAAACCCAGAGTCAATGTAGGAGGGAATTAGACAAGGTTGCCAGTATAGGGAAGTGGTTTTTTCATGGTCACCAATGGAACAATCTCTCATAAAGTTGCTCCTTTCTCTAGCCACATGTGGAGCCATGTTAGTCTCTATGATTCTATAGGGGCTGAACCCTGGTTCATGTCTTCCTACTGCCACATACAAAGCCCAGGACATATGTGACTGTGGTTCTGATCACCATTTTGCATTTTGGTTCTGTTTCTGATACACAGAAATGTTTATCTTCTTTCTGTTTTAATCATAGCCATAACATTTAATTTTCTCATTTATATTGCATCTCCTATTTTTCTATTTGAAGCAGAATAAAGAATGAGGAGACTCAAAATATTTTTTTTTGGACACAGAGTCTCACTATGTCACCCTCAGTAGAGTGCTGTGGTGTCACAGCTCACAGCAACCTCCAACTCTTGGGCTTAAGCGATTCTCTTGCTTCAGCCTCCCAAGTAGCTGGGACTACAGGTGCCTGCCACAACGCCCAGCTATTTTTTGTTGTAATTGTCATTGTTATTTGGCAGGCCCAGTCTGTGTTTGAACCACCAGCTCTGGTGTATGTGGCTGGTGCCCTAGCCACTGAGCTACAGGGGCTGAGCTGGAGTCTCAAAACATTAATTGAAAATGTGATCTTGGCTGGATGTCTGGCTCAACATCAAGTCCATTTCCTTTAGTTAGTTCCTCTACCAGTTTGTTCCTGCCTTCACTGAAAATGTCATTCTTCTCCTGTCTGTATGCTTTCCTTTTCCCTTTCCCTGTGTAATTACACAATGGTGTTCACTGGACAGTCAGCACCTGTCTCTGTACCTTGTTCACATTATTCTTGGAACGATCTTGCTTCCAAGAGTTGTGTGAACACTCTCTCCTTATTCTTTTGGCTAAATGCTGGCAACCAGAAACACTCTTTCCCTTTGAACTCCCAGGGTTTTTCTTGTATTTATCTTATAGCACTTATTACTTCCCACCTTTTATGATATTATTTACTTGGTCTCTATGTTGTACCTGTATCTTGGTTCCTTAGAAGTAAAGCTCATGTGAGATTTTCTCTGTACTATGCCTTGCACAAAGTTATCAGACTCTCAAGACATACTTCTTGCCTTCCAACTCCAAAATTATCCAAGGGAGCTAATTTACATATGAATTTGCAAAGAGCTGAATTTCAAGGAAAGATGATATCCACATTTATATCTTCTCCATCTTGGGTCATCTAATACTACAACCGGTAACGATTGCCTTCGTGTTTTTTATTAAGTACAATCATAATATTGTACATGTAAGTATTTTAGTTTAATTTTAGTGGTTTCTAAGAAAATTCTCTCAAGGCA